CTTAACTCTCTCATGACAACAGTTTCATGTGACTATCACTTTTATCTTTCATGATATATATTTAGTTTAGGAACAGTATTTTAAAAGTAAATAGATGATTGGTATTGCCTTTCTTTTAATAAACATATCTATGATTAGTTTACATTCATAGTTAAAGTTTCATTGTATTTCTAGATATATGTATAGTGTCAGTTTAGTGCAGTTTATCAAAATGTCTCTTCTAGATGGGGGCTTAATTCAATGACCAGAAAGGTAAGTCGCCAGCTCTGTCTAGCTATTCATTTAATGACCAGAAAGGTAAGTCATCAGGAAGGGTAATCTGCTCTGTCTAGCTATTCATTTAATGACCAGAAAGGTAAGTCATCAGGAAGGGTAATCTGCTCTGTCTAGCTATTAATTTAATGACCAGAAAGGTAAGTCATCAGGAAGGGTAATCTGCTCTGTCTAGCTATTCATTTAATGACCAGAAAGGAAAGACGTCAGGAGGGGTAATCTGCTCTGTCTAGCTATTCATTTAATGACCAGAAAGGAAAGACGTCAGGAGGGGTAATCTGCTCTGTCTAGCTATTAATTTAATGGCCAGAAAGGAAAGACGTCAGGAGGGGTAATCTGCTCTGTCTAGCTATTAATTTAATGACCAGAAAGGTAAGACGCCAGGAGCGGTAATCTGCTCTGTCTAGCTATTCATTTAATGACCAGAAAGGAAAGACGTCAGGAGGGGTAATCTGCTCTGTCTAGCTATTCATTTAATGACCAGAAAGGTAAGACGTCAGGAGGGGTAATCTGCTCTGTCTAGCTATTCATTTAATGACCAGAAAGGAAAGACGTCAGGAAGGGTAATCTGCTCTGTCTAACTATTCATTTAATGACCAGAAAGGTAAGACGTCAGGAAGGGTAATCTGCTCTATCTAGCTATTCATTTAATGACCAGAAAGGAAAGACGTCAGGAAGGGTAATCTGCTCTGTCTAGCTATTCATTTAATGACCAGAAAGGTAAGACGTCAGGAAGGGTAATCTGCTCTGTCTAGTTATTCATTTAATGACCAGAAAGGAAAGACGTCAGGAAGGGTAATCTGCTCTGTCTAGCTATTCATTTAATGACCAGAAAGGTAACACGTCAGGAGGGGTAATCTGCTCTGTCTAGCTATTCATTTAATGACCAGAAAGGAAAGACGTCAGGAAGGGTAATCTGCTCTGTCTAGCTATTCATTTAATGACCAGAAAGGTAAGACGTCAGGAAGGGTAATCTGCTCTGTCTAGTTATTCATTTAATGACCAGAAAGGAAAGACGTCAGGAAGGGTAATCTGCTCTGTCTAGCTATTCATTTAATGACCAGAAAGGTAACACGTCAGGAGGGGTAATCTGCTCTGTCTAGCTATTCATTTAATGACCAGAAAGGAAAGACGTCAGGAGGGGTAATCTGCTCTGTCTAGCTATTCATTTAATAAGTGTTTGCTAGGCATCTAAATTCCCTTTTCCCATTTCCTGGGATAATCAGGAAAGCTCACTTTCTTTCACGAGCCAATTTGAGTCTGTATCTACGTATCTAGAGACTCTGTCTGCAATTAGCATCAAAAGACAGCTGTCTCGGTTTCTCACTTGCATTACGAGGGAGGATGTAAACCCACACCCACCGCCATGGCAAGATAAATGAGAAACCTGTTCCAGGACAGCAGGAGTCACCTCCCCTGTGCGTCAACAGTTCAAGGGTAACCTATTCACAAGGGCAGGCAGTAATCTAGTGACACCAAGTGTACTCTGTAACTGTTGCAGCCCCAGGTGAAATGAAACTCTGGCACTGCAGGCAGATAACAATACAATGGAGAAACAGTCAGGGACATATGGGCTCAACAGAATCAGGCTCTCTCTCTCTCTCTCTCTCTCTCTCTCTTTCTCTCTCTCTCTCTCTCTCTCTCTCTCTCTCTCTCTCTCTCTCTCTCTCTCTCTCTCTCTCTCTCTCTCTCTTTCTCTCTTTTTTCCCCTCTGTGTGTGTGCATGCGTGTGTGTGTGTGCATACAAGCATGCATGTGTCTGTGCGTGTCTGTGCAACAAATTCCAGTAGATAACACAGGAATGCTAGTCACACTAAAAAAAGGTCTATCTTGACATTTCTGCAGTGTTGCTCTTGTTCACCCTGAGGTTGTACAGTTAGATCTTCAAGTCTTGTAGATTAGGTATACTTCAACCCCCCCCCCCCCCCCCCCTTTTCCCCTTTTCCAATTCAAAATGAAAATGCACCTAGAGAGTGGAAAAGAGAAGAAATGGGAAGAGAAAGGAGAGAAAAAAAAGGGGAGACCGGAAAGGCACAGGGAGGGGGGTAGAGGGAGGAGGGTGACAGGGAGAGAGAAGGGGGATTAACATGTGCACATTTGTTGATCCACTGAAGGAAGTTACTGTAGATAAGTGTCAGCTAGAAACACAATGTTGCCTTCCTGTTTTCTCTAAAGTTCAGAACTAACGATTTTATATAATCTTTTGACGAAATTCTGCATCACATGTGTAATCAGTTGCCGTTCCCCCTGATTCATAACATCCTTCTACACGTGCCCAGCCTCCATATTTATATCAATAAAAATGTAAATATTTGTTTGTTATTAAGAGCAAACCCCCTAAAGTTCTTCACCGACTGCTTTCAAATTTTGACACAACGTTGCAATCGAATATGCCCATGTTTTTTATAAGAGTGTCGCACAAAGCATGAACTACACAGTTCCAGTGACAATCACATCGGCATCTTGGTTTTATTTTCCGACGATCCAACTTTTTTCGTTGCCGCGTTCCTGAACTTTGGACTGTTGATCTCAGAAATGTGCATAAAGCTTATGAGATAATAAATGATTTTGTTATAGGGACAAAAAGTTGTTGAAAGGTTGTTTGGAAATGTAAAGATGTGGCAATAAAAAGTTGACATTAATAGTTGTGGGAATTTTAAAAAAGGAGCTGTTTAAAGACTGTATAGGAATGAAAAGATTTGGGAATGAAGGATGATTAATTAGTGAGGACTATCATCACAACGTGTTGGGGCATACTGAAAGAATGTCAGATGACAGAGAAGTAAAAACGGTATACACCAGGGAGATGAATGGTCGTCGACCACGAGGGAGACCAAGAAGACGATGGAGAGATAATATCGAAAATGACCTGCAAACACTTGGTGTTACCAACTGGATAGAGAAGGCCAACCAAAAAGACGAATGGAGATGGGTGATATCTGCAGCAATAAACCTCATGGGCTCAGAATGCTAAAGAAGGCCAACCAGAGAGACGAATGGAGATGGGTGATATCTGCAGCAATGAACCTCATGGGCTCAGAATGCTAAAGAAGGCCAACCAGAGAGACGAATGGAGATGGGTGATATCAGCAGCAATGAACCTCATGGGCTCGGAATGCTAAAGAAGGCCAACCAGAGAGACGAATGGAGATGGGTGATATCTGCAGTAATGAACCTCATGGGCTCGGAATGCTGAAGAAGAAGAAGATCATCACAGCGTTCTGGACAGAACCCTAGTTCTCAGATCTTTTGCTCAATAGCTCCACAAGCACAAAAACTACTAATGATGCCCTTTCTGTGATGATTGATCACACAACTCTTGCCCTTATTGCTCCAGACTTCACTCCCCTATCCACCAGCCTCCACACGATCTTCTTTGTTTATGCATGTCACTGGACATCAATGACATCACTACTGCCCATGTCAGAGAAATCACAGTAACTGCCTAACCCACAAGCTTAATCTGCTCATAGTAGCAGCAGTGGTAGTAGCAACAGAATAGTAGTATACTTGTTGTAGTTGGTGGGGTGGTTACAACGGGCTGTCATGCAGGAGACCTAGGTTCAACCCCAAGTTCTGTCGGGGGCTGCCTAACCCACAAGCTTAATTTGCTCATAGTAGCAGCAGTGGTAGTAGTGACAGAATAGTAGTATACTTGTTGTAGTTGGTGGGGTGGTTACAACGGGCTGTCATGCAGGAGACCTGGGTTCAACCCCAAGTTCTGTCGGAGGCTGCCTAACCCACAAGCTTAATCTGCTCATAGTAGCAGCAGTGGTAGTAGCAACAGAATAGTAGTATACTTGTTGTAGTTGGTGGGGTGGTTACAACCTCAGCCTGTCATGCAGGAGACCTAGGTTCAACCCCAAGTTCTGTCAGGGGCTGCCTAACCCACAAGCTTAATTTGCTCATAGTAGCAGCAGTGGTAGTAATGACAGAATAGTAGTATACTTGTTGTAGTTGGTGGGGTGGTTACAACCTCAGCCTGTCATGCAGGAGACCTGGGTTCAACCCCAAGTTCTGTCGGAGGCTGCCTAACCCACAAGCTTAATTTGCTCATAGTAGCAGCAGTGGTAGTAGCAACAGAATAGTAGTATACTTGTTGTAGTTGGTGGGGTGGTTACAACATCGGGCTGTCATGCAGGAGACCTGGTTGGGGGGGGGGGGGGGCTAATTTGAAGGTTTTTTTTAGAAGTACAGTAGTAAACTTTACTTTGAGCTCTTTAAAAAATACAAAAAGCTTTAGCATGTGTTGCAAAAATATTTAACAATTTGTAGTCTTGGTTATACACTTTAAACAACCACTAATATAAGGAGACAATTATATGTTGTGTGTTCTAGAGTCAGCAATCTAGACTATCTGTGCAGATAATGATTGTGAAATTTACCATATTAGACATGTGCGTTTTCCATTTTGCTTCTTTTCCTGTTAGCCAGACTGGGCCACAACAATGTGTGGCTGGGTGCAGCTAGTAAGTTATATTCTTCTTGTTATTCAGAATTATAACACCTTGTTTGACTGTTCCTACTTCCGTATGCATGATCTATTCTGCTTCATGCAGAACCATAATGTCCTTCTATAAGTTTCACCTAAGTTATCTGATTCCTGTCACCCAACATGCTTATACACTCTTGCCTGCTCCAGACATGTTGTTACCCAGGTTCATCTGCTGCTTAGATTTCCTGGCACTATGTGACAAAACATGGACACATTCAACAAACATCATTACCTTTGAGCTGCTTGTAGACAGGCTTCAGGGGGTCTAGCCAGTGCTGGGGAAAACAAAGTCAGGCTACATCATTAAGTATACACAACCTGCAGCAACATGTTGTGCACAAACAACACATACAACACATCCAATGACAAACTGTAGAATGACCAACAGCCAAGGCGCAGGCAGCGAGCAACACACCAGGGATATAGTGCACAGCCAGCACTGGCGTAGACAGATTAATCTACCAACAGTGTGTGTCTAGGACCCAAGTTCTCCACCTGAAATGCTTACCTAAAATGTTCCCACAGGCTAAAGCCACAGATTTCAGAAGCTCCCATAATATCAAAACCACAGATCTAAGACGTTCCCATAAGCTGAAAAGCCTTGATGGAAGATATCAATGTGTACTTTCCCTGCTTGTTGTTGCTTGTACTGAAGTATAGTGAGCAACCAGAAATTTGTGGCATCATCATGATGTAATAAATGTGTGCCAACCATTGTCCAGTTTCGTTATCATTTCTTCACTCAGACATTTTCCTGCCAAGGTTATCTATAATGTTTTGTGTCCACAGGCATGTCGGTCAGCCTCTGCCTTGTCTTCAAACAACAATGCTCCAGTAGTGTTATTCCTGTTGTTAGCACCTGTTTGTCTTCCCCATGATGACAGTGTTGTACTGTGCTAGGGGTGGTATGGGAATCATAGCACAGGCTGATGGCCAGTATGACAAGCAAGACCTGCTTGCATTAAGAAATGTCTTTCACAATGACAGCGTGGAATTTCATGACCTTGCCGGTACATAACATGCTTGTTCTCCAATGATTAGCTGTTTACACGTCTGCAACAATTGTCTGTATTACTTGGGGACTCTATCATCCTCCATCATCCAAGTGTGTCCTAGCCATCCCAGCTCTGACAGGCTGACATTTGCACACAACTGTTGTGATACCTGCTCTTTCCAGTTCCTCAGTGTTTGTGATCTTGTCTTGCCACTTAATGACAGCCATTTATTGTAGTCATCACATGTTAAACCTGTTTAGCTGTCTCCTGGTGGAAATAATTTAACCAAGTCTCACTGCCATAAACAAGAGGGCTGATAACACAAGGCTGATAGACAAGGGTTTTTGTTGTATACCGGTAAGCTTTCTGTTCTCCTAAACTGTTTTTGTTAATTTGCTCATTGATGTTGCTGCCACACCTGTCATGATATTGATAGTTGCTGTGTAAATGCACAAAGACACATACATACTGAAACAATCACACTCATATTAAAACACACAAACAGACATGTGTATGTATGCTCTCCCAACACCACCACACCATTATACCCATTTGTAAACACAACACATCTTAAACAAATCGATGATCGATAATGAAATCTAAGGTAGTGCATACACTGACATACCCGCTGGTTTTCTGTGTCCACATAACGAAGTCCGAAATAATCCTTCTCCACCAGATTCAGCTTCTCACAGACCTGGTCAAACAGCCAGTGTCCCAGCGTGTCTTTCTGCAACAATATACATCATTTCATAAGCCAACATTTCATATACACACTCAACATACATCATGTGTCAGTGTGTGTGCATGCGTGTTTCCATGCGTGCATGTGTGTGTACATGTGTATGTTTAAGAACTAGAAAGAGTTGTACATGTAATAATACTAACAATAACAAAGTAAACAGTTATCAACAAAATAAACACAGAAGCAGAGACATATAATATGGTTAGAAAGGAACATATGTCCCAGCACTGTCACTTGTGTCTACAACAACAAACAAGAGGTAGGTAGGTAGGTAGGTGGGGTGTGTGTGTGTGTGTGTGTGTGTGTGTGTGTGTGTGTGCGTGTGTGTGTGTGAGTGCACACGCGTGTGCGTGCGTGCGCGCGCGCGGGTAAATGACTTACAACTGTTACATCCTCAACTGTACAGACACTCTAACCAAATCTGTGAATGCTGTAATTTGTGTCATATTTTGCCATTTCAGTTTGCATTGACCAACCTAAGTCCAACAGATTGTCGGTTGATGAGATACAACGAAATATGCCAGACAATCAACTACTGGTGTCCTTGCTGTTGGAATGTCCAAAGTGTTGCCATCTCCATCTCACACTTGCCATCTACTGTGACTTCTTGCTCAAGATCATCATCAGCATCATGTGCCACTTGTATAATGGGAGTCAGATGTCAGCAGTCTCCAAGGAGTACCTCTCCCTTTGTAATTTCTGTATCACTTTCCTCTACTGCTATGACATTATTATATTCCATTTATGTGAACCAATGTTACTCTCACATCGTTTATTTATTATCCATGTCAATCATCACAAAGCTGTGTCTTCTGCTTCTTCTGTCTTTTATCTTCTAATACAGCAAGGGGCCTCAACCAATTCCTGTTCATCTCTGGGAAGATTTAAGAATGATTAGTTAAGGTCTAACAGAGCAAGGGTTCTCAATAAATCCCCACCCAGCTGCTGGCAGACGTGTTCATGATTCATTGCAGTCCAAAAGAACAAGGGCCCTCAACTAATCCCCGCCCAGATCTTGGTGGACGTTCATGATTGGTTGAAGTATTTGAAGTCTAAAAGATCAAGGACGTCAGCTAATCCCTGCCCATCTATTGGTGGACGTTCATGATTGGTTGAAGTATTTGAAGTCTAAAAGATCAAGGACCTCAGCTAATCCCTGCCCATCTATTGGTGGACGTTCATAATTGGTTGAAGTATTTGAAGTCTAAAAGATCAAGGACCTCAGCTAATCCCTGCCCATCTCTTGGTGGACGTTCATGATTGGTTGAAGTATTTGAAGTCTAAAAGATCAAGGACCTCAGCTAATCCCTGCCCATCTCTTGGTGGACGTTCATGATTGGTTGAAGTATTTGAAGTCTAAAAGATCAAGGACCTCAGCTAATCCCTGCCCATCTCTTGGTGGACGTTCATGATTGGTTGAAGTATTTGAAGTCTAAAAGATCAAGGACCTCAGCTAATCCCTGCCCATCTCTTGGTAGACTTGTTCATGATTGGTTGAAGTATTTGAAGTCTAAAAGATCAAGGACCTCAGCTAATCCCTGCCCATCTCTTGGTGGACGTTCATGATTGGTTGAAGTATTTGAAGTCTAAAAGATCAAGGACCTCAGCTAATCCCTGCCCATCTCTTGGTAGACTTGTTTACGGCTGGTTAAAGTCTGCAGCTCCAGTTCTTTTACAAGATCAACTTCCCCTTGTCTCCCGGCTCCACCAACTGGACACCAGCCAGTGATGTTGTTAGAATCTAACACTTGATAGTCCCCGGCTGACAGTCATAACTTAGCAGGTTAGATGTGGTCAGCTTTAGCCTATAGTTGACTGCTGCTGTGGCTATTGCCGTTCTTGTTCTGATGTCTGCCTCACAGTTACCAACATCTGACATTCATTGTCCTGGCTAGGACAACACTGTTGGTCCCTCGGGGTAAGGAAGGAATGTAGATAAACACTAAAAATAAAATGTGTCAAATAAACATGGCACGCAAGAAACACCAGAGACATCATAAGTGACTGGCCCACACCCACACAGATCTGATTTACCCACAGAGTCGCAGAGTCCCCATTAGTTGATCTACCCCCATAGGTCTGGTTACATCCACAGAAGAAATCAGCTGCTCTACCTACACGTCTGGTTACAGCAAGCAGCATAGGCAACCCCAATGTACCTTAACTGAAGATGAGCTAGTGCCTGCCACATTGGCACACAATGAAAACTGTTGCAAATACCTGGCATTGTCTGATCACATTACTAGGCCAGGGTTGGTGCCACAAGACACCTGCATAGAAACTAGGTAATTTCTAATGTTTGCTGGTGGAAGTTCATGCCAATGTGTTTTCATGTATGTGTCAATGGGTGGGTGGGTGTGTGTACACGTATATGTGTGTGTGTAATTAGCGACTGTTCACACGCAGTAGATCAAGAATTTTATACCTAACAACAGTGTAAACAGAATAAATATTGAAAAACTGACTGAGGTAGAAACAGCAGCTAAAGAGACAATGACAGGCAGTAGAACTGCAGGGCTGGGCAATATTGCTGTAGAACTATGTGATGTACACGGTCGGTGCATCTGGCACAGCAAACATAACACACACAGAGAGGTGTAGAGGAAGAGACCTGACAGGGTAGCTGCTCTCAGATAATAGCAGCTCAGTGTTCATCGGAAAGCCAGGAATGTAGGGGATGTGAAGGAGATAGGACAATCACTGAACCGAGTCTTGTTACAAAGCTCTCCTTCAGGCGACACTGAAAACTATCTGACATCAAAATATGAACAGACATTTCACAAACCCACTTTGCTGCAGATAAAGGAACAGAGAATGCAGTTATCACTTGTTTTACTGTTCATGGACAAATATACACAGATGCCTTATCAACACGTTACAAACATGAGAATGTTCAAATGTTATGTCTACTCTACTGAATGGCACAGAAACTCATACAATAAACCAGCAACTAATCTAGCAAATTGATTTTCTTGACAAAAACAATCAAATGCAGAGGGTCTGAAAAGATTGTTAAAAAAGAGAATTGACAACAAAAATTTAAAAAAAAGAGACAGGTGAAATATTTTGGCTACACTTAAATAAAAAAAACACTCTTTTCAACACCACACTGGAGGAAAAAGTTACAGGCAAGAAAGCAAGAGGTAGACAATAATGCAAGTGGGAAGACAACATCAAAAGATATAACAGCAGTCAGAGAGAGAGAGAGTACTACCGAGAATAGAGACACTGTTAAAGATCTACTGTGGCCAACGTTTGTTGTGGATATGGCATCTGAGTGACTGATTACAAGGTTGCAAGAAGGAACATGTTAGAGATCTAACTGTGGCCAACCTTTGTTGTGGATATGGCATCTGAGTGACTGATTACCAGGTTGCAAGAAGGCCTATATTGACATGTTAGAGATCTAACTGTGGCCAACCTTTGTTGTGGATATGGCATCTGAGCGACTGATTACACGGTTGCAAGAAGGCCTATATTGACATGTTAGACTATATTGACATGTTAGAGATCTAACTGTGGCCAACCTTTGTTGTGGATATGGCATCTGAGTGTCTGATTACCAGGTTGCAAGAAGGACTATATTGACATGTTAGAGAATATTCTCAAGCTTGAGAAACATGAGGATCTGTTCAATGTGTTCAATGTGTTCAATGTGTTCAATGTGTTGTATCAACTGAGACTAGATGGCAAAGATCAGGACAATCAGCAACAGATGACGGAAGCATTAGAGATAGAGGCAGGCAGGGTCTACACTGAACACTGGCCTGCTATAGTCCAGACTAATGGTGCTATTTGTCTGTTATTTATCTGTGTCTTCCTGTCTGCACATGTGTCTTCTGTCTGTCTGTCTGATGTTCCTATAAGAATGTATGTTGAGCACCTGAGATTCTCTCTCTCAGGTCAGTGCACCTAGCTAAGTGGGAGGGGGGAAGGATGCAGGGAGGAGGGTTTACACCTGTGTGTGTGTGCGCATGTGCACACACACTTTCATGTTCTTCTTTTCATGCTAGTTTCTTATCTTCACATATGTACTAGAATGCCCAATATGCAGTGACATCGACTGTGATAACTTAACATTCATTTCTTTCTGTCTGTTTTTTTTTTGTCCTGTCCTGACTGGATTTCTCTGTGTCATCCTGGCTTATTTTTCTCTAAAGTGCAAACTTCTGTACTTGCCCATGTGGCTGTCACAACCACATCTATTATACATTCCTTGTGAGGACATATCTCCACCCAGCAAGCAGTTACAGATATTCATAACACATAATGGTGAACCAGAGGGGGAAAATCAATGACGAACCCCATGCTATAAATACCAGTTATTGACAAATTAGAGAGAACAAATCAATGACAAGCCTGCTTCTATAAATATCCCCTAACAGTGTCTCAGTGCTAATCTAGTCACAGTTGACTGCCCATGCCTGCTTTTCCCTGGCCACTAGACTGGACCACATGGGGCAGACCAGAAGCTGAAGCAGCAGATCATACACAGACATCCTCAAAGCACATTTGCATTGTTTTTGTTTACCTAATTTTTCATGTCTGACAGAGCTGTGAGTCAACTCTTATCAATCATGTCTGACAGACCTGTGAGTCAACTTTTATCATACATGTCTGACAGACCTGTGAGGCAATTCTTATATTTCATGTCTAACAGAGTTGTGAGTCAACTTTTATCATACATGTCTGACAGACCTGTGAGGCAATTTTTATATTTCATGTCTAACAGAGCTGTGAGTCAATTCTTATCATTCATGTCTGAAGAATTGAAGTCAACTCTCATCATTCATGTCTGACAGAGCTGTGAGTCAACTATTATCATTCATGCCTGGCAGAGCTTTAAGTCAACTCTCATTATTCATGCCTGACAGAGCTGTGAGTCAACTCTCATCATTCATGCCTGACAGATATGTGAGTCAACTCTCATCATTCATGTCTGACAGAGCTGTCAGTCAACTCTTCCCATGTTTGACAGAGCTGTCAGTCAACTCTTCCCATGTTTGACAGAGCTGTCAGTAAACTCTCCCCATGTTTGACAGAGCTGTCAGTCAACTCTCCCCATGTTTGACAGATGTGTAAAAAGAAGTCTACAAACACAAGCTGCTGTAACCACTGGCCCAGTATCAGCAAATACCACACACAGTGTAACCTCTTGTAACAGGGGAGCTTACGCCAGCCCCTCATGTCCTTAGATCCTTCCCTCCCCCACTCAACTCTACAACATAATACACACAACTGATTTATGCGCAAGCCATTTGCGTTACAATATTGATTAATGAAGAAATGCTTTCAGCCATGACTCAGCTAGACAAACACATGTGTGCAGACAGTTCTCAGCTCCAGCAATCCGTGGCAAACATGCCTGAAAACAGGCACTTCCTACTTTGTTGTATAGCATGATAGGATTGGGTTCTATTTTCAGCCAACAAATAATCAAGGGAAACACCCACAGTTAATAACAAACAATACAGGCCTAGGTATACTATTGTTGCAGACTTGGCTGCTGGACTGCACACAGCTAACTTACACTGGTGTGGGCAAACAGGCCATGTTCCTACACAATTTTACTGCAATGAATAAACTAATGAACAAAACATTATTTTTATAGGGCACGCCTGCCTGCCTGCCCAGTCAACCTTATTGGACTGTCCTCACCTGCTGTCTGTGATGAAGTGACCAGCAGCACTGGTTTAGTCATGTGGTAATCTTGCTGGTTTAGTGAGAGGCCCATGTAGCTATGAGCTAACACATATGAGATCATGACCAGCAGCACTGGTTTAGTCATGTGGTAATCTTGCTGGTTTAGTGAGAGGCCCATGTAGCTATGAGCTAACACATATGAGATCATGACCAGCAGCACTGGTTTAGTCATGTGGTAATCTTGCTGGTTTAGTGAGAGGCCCATGTAGCTATGAGCTAACACATATGAGATCATGACCAGCAGCACTGGTTTAGTCATGTGGTAATCTTGCTGGTTTAGTGAGAGGCCCATGTAGCTATGAGCTAACACATGCGAGATCATGACCAGCAGCACTGGTTTAGTCATGTGGTAATCTTGCTGGTTTAGTGAGAGGTCAATGTAGCTATGAGCTAACACATGCGAGATCATGACCAGCAGCACTGGTTTAGTCATGTGGTAATCTTGCTGGTTTAGTGAGAGGCCCATGTAGCTATGAGCTAACACATATGAGATCATGACCAACAGCACTGGTTTAGTCATCTGGTAATCTTGCTGGTTTAGTGAGAGGCCAATGTAGCTATGAGATAACACATACGAGATCATGACCAGCAGAACTGAGACAGCATCAACCAGAACAGGGGATAACATGGCAACAATGAGATGACATCAAGCACATAAGAGAGGTCAGCAAGAATGCTTCCAGCAGTGTTAAATCAAACACAACTATGCAGCAGTACAGTAGTCAGTTGATCGATCAGACACATGAGATCACACTCATGAATGAAACAACCACACACACACACACAAAACCATAAACATGCATGCAAATGTGAAAGGCACAAGGGAAATAGTGATGAATATATAAACATGTAACTATGAACACAAATGGCCTGGGTACAAGGATGGAGTGGTTGTATTCAATGACAACCTACAACCAGAGTGGTGTCTTACACATGACCTAAATGGTGTTAACCTAGCTAGGTCAGACATTTGCTAGGTATGTGACCCAGAAATACCAGTTTAATAATACTGCCCATCAATGTATTGCCAGGTGCACACTGCTAGTTTTGTGAGGCTGGTGGTTGGGGCGTCCATCTACATAGTTGTTAAACATGTATCATCATTTCTGAAGAAGACATCTAACAAATACAAAGAGACAAGGAATGCTGGCTTGCAGAGATCAGATGTCCTAGGCTATCCATGGAAGGTCTTAACCAGAAGGGCTGAGATAATGGAATACTGTGGTTAGTAGGAGAGCTGGAGACTTCTACACCAGGGGATAGGCTACAGTGGTTTCTGAGGCTGAGTTTGGGTGTGAGGGCTTAGAGAAGGGGATTCAAGAAGGCTGTCCTGGTATGATGGCTTAGAGAACGAGTGACATGTTACTGAGTTTAGGTGTCAAAGCTTAAAGAGGAGATGTAAATGAGTTTGGGTGTGATGGCTTAGAGAGGGGAGTGGCATGTTACTGAGGCTGAGTTTAAGTATTGTTAAAGAACAGGTTTCTTTTTTACTCACTATGGTGGGACTGCGGGTTTGAATCCTTCCTCCTGATGCAAGTGAGAAACTGAGACAGTTGTCTTTTGATGCTAAGAGCAGACAGTGTCACTGGATACTCAGATACAGACTCGAACTGGCTCACGAAAGAAAGTGAGCTGCCTGAATATGCCAAGAAATGTGAAACAGGAATTTAGATGCACAGAGAACACTTACACTTAGACAAGAGCAGATTACCCCTCCTGAAAATGTCCCTTTATGGTTACTAAATGTAGCCCCCATCTAGAAGAGGTACATTGACAGACAGCACTGAACTATCACCAAACACATAGATCTAGAAATACATTAAACTTTAACTAGGAATGTAATTCACTCATAGAAATATTTATTAAAATAAAGTCAATTTCAATCATTTAGTATTTCTGAAAAACAATCCTTAAACTAAACAGAAATGAGAGAGAAAAATTGATGGTCACATGAAACTGTCGGCGTGAGAGAGTTTATGAGAATTTTTCGCAGACACAAAACAATTACCACATGGGACAGTGGCGCAGAGATAGAGGCCTGGCTTAGCAGGACAGTGGTGCAGAGATAGTGGCCTGGCTGACCAGGAAGGTGGGGCAGGGATAGTGGCCTGGCTGACCAGGAAAGTGGTGAAGGGATAGTGGCCCGGTCAATGTGTTCGGGTCTACAACATGGGAATGGCTAATACTTGAACTCCAACAGCTGCTGGTATCATACAATTATGCTCACTTTGTCACAAGATGAAGTAGGCTCTTAAAGCAAGATCTGGATATAACTGCTGCACTTCAGGAACAAACAAAACAACACCACCACCACAGCAAAAGCACATATACATGTACAAACCCAAAAACATTTATGTGTGATAATTTGCCAGTTCTAAGGTCAGGGATATGGTGCAGGGTTATATTTACTGGACAAAGCACCAGTATGTGAGCGAAGTGAATCTAATTACCAGCCCTAATGTTGCAATTTGGCACCTGGAATGTTAGAACTCTCTATGATATAGGGAGAACAATGGAGGAAGCAAAGTAAATGAAACATTATAGAATTAGTATTTTAGGAAGACACACACTGAGAAAACAGGAGAACAGCATAATTAGAATGTCTTTGCATTGGAACCCACAGGGGCATAGGAATAAAGGAAGGCCAAAAAACACATGCAGAAGAGAGCTGGAGAATGAAGTTAGAAAGATGGGGAGGACATGGGGAGAGCTCCATGCAATGGCGAAGGATAGAACGACTTGGTGTGAGTTGGTTGAGGGCCTATGCTCCATTGAAGGGATAGAAAGGCAGAAGAAGAAGAATGTTGCAACATTTAGGAATTTATTTATGCAGGAATCAGCCAAATGTGCAACAATGGTTGTGAAACTTCACACTTGTGGGGAATGATGATTGTCTGTAGAAAGTAGGCAGGCCAGGGGCGCAATCTACGGATAGGGCACACCAACTTGAGAAGGTGCTGCAGCCTACACTGCAACCTCTAGTTTGGCGTGAAGTATGTCAATAGATCACAGATGAGATTAACCGCCTCTTGCTACCCCTAGTCACACAAAGGTCAGGTATCCAGAATACAATTCTGTAGATAGAAGGAAAAAAAACCCGCACATTCTGCGATGGGAATCCCTCGAGGTTATCAACGTCATGGAGACTGAGGCCGTCTCAAACAAAAGTAGGCCACACTGAACTAAAGTAGACCGAAATACTGCTGTTAAGTCACCCAAAATTTCTTCCCGTTTTATAGTGGTGACATGTGTCAAACATGTATTCCAGCCATGGCGTTATGCTCCCAAGTCAATGTTATACCGTTACCCGTTTGGTTTGCCTTATTATTAAGATGACAGTAATGACACTGCATTTGTGTGTGGCGTTTTGGACAAATTATGTCACAATAATCGCATCTTCTTAGGTGTGCCTTGATACAGGCACTGTTATCTTCCGAACTTTGTTCACTAACACAACCAGAAAGCACACACAAACATGCTGAAGCTAGCAAGAAGGAAATATTTTCAGTTTGAGTGTTGACGTTCGTCATAACAACTGACATTGTCTGCTAGCTTACCTTGAACGTCAGCTGTGTAGTTTCGCTGTCGTCCAAAAACCGAATACTGCACGTATACTCTGTGAAGGCGTCATTTTTATTTCTCTTCCGTAAAATAGACATGATGACGGCCGTGGTGTGAAAGAATCAGTGGAGACAACGACGGCAACCGTGAGGACGGGAGTCCAGGGCGGAGACGGCAGACATATAGAGACGACGGGACAAGATGGCGCGGTCACGTGACCGGGCTTGACGTCTGCTACAGGACGCCAGCATGGGAGACAATGTCTTCTCCGGTCACTCTCTGTATGTTTTCTGTCTGACCTCTGTCTCTGCTGGCAAGCACTTCGTACTCACCCAGCTTCTGACACAACACCGACTCTACTTTCTTGTCATGGTGGCGGTCACTGTGTCAGTTAGTTCAGCGTATCCAGATTGTATCTGTACCTTTGTTTGGTATGCCAGTGGTCGGTTCAAAGGTCAAAGGTTAAATGTGTACTTTCATATCTCTCAGGTAGTATTTTTCGTATCTCTCAGGTAGTAGGCTGGGGGCGGTAAACTTAGTTTCTGTGGCCATAACCTCTTTATCTTCCAGTTTGTACCGTGGGTGGGGGTTACACAAATGTTTATTTCAATGTCAAGATAGTATACAGAACTGCCTGACACGACTGCAGTCAGCGGCCAGCATGGTGGTGCTTGTGGTCATGGGTGTGTGTGGTAGTGGCAAGTAAGTCCAGCCTCTTCATCTGTCAGTCTGTACTTAGTTTAGTCAAAATAGCATTTACTTGGTGTTCGGTCCAACTACTCGGACTTGTACTTCATTCTGTTCTTTCATAGGAAGATATGTTATTTGACGTTCGAAATTGGTCATCCTACAATTATTAGAAGGGAAGCAATGAAATGTCACTGCAGGTGAAGAAATATTGATACTCCAACGTCCAGGAAGTCTGCCTTTTCTGAAACACGAACACTGCAGAAAAAAAAAGCTAGTCCAATTGTGATTTGTGATTTGTTCGGCCTTTGCATAACATTGTCATCGACAGGCTAAGCTACAGTCGCCTGACCAGTTCTTGTCACTCTTGCCATTCTAGAACATTTTAAAGAAAACTAATGAAGGATTCCCCCCCCCCCCCCCCCCCCCCCGAGAGTTAGACATCCTGATTTCCTCAATATCTATATTACCTATTTCAGTGCCTGTTTGATGATTCTCTTTCCGTTTCTTCACAGAATTTGTGTAATAGAGCGCCACCTTCTCTGTCATATAAATGTGGAAACTAGTGGTTGCCCAAGCATTTCTCTTATTTCTTCATCCCTCTTGAATTCATCCCATTTTATGTTCATCATTTTCCTCGGGCAGTTGGAAACACCCTAGTAGTATATATTTTGTACACACTTTCACAGCTATTTATTGCTGATAGGCTCAAGTTGCTTCAACAAGGTCATACCTCAGAGTAGCTGCAGACAAGAAGCACCTCTGCACGAAGCTCAAGGTAGACCTGAGGGTCACTGACTGAAAAGATAAATGTCTACGATGGTGCAGGCAGAAGACACAGTTAAACATGTCTGCATGCTTGAAAATATTTGGTGGGGAGATAGTTGGTCAGAGCAGCCGAGCAACAGTCAGACTTGTGTAGGGTTTGAATCACATTGGCCCTGGAGTGTAGGGACTGGCCAGCAGGCATTGCAGCAGCAGAAATTCAACAGCTCAATAATAACAGTCCCTACCCAGGGGAGGTAAACACAAGTGCGTTATAATTCTCTTGACTTGTGAACCCGCTGCACAAAAATATTGTGATTGTAACTGACCAACAAAGTTGGAGACTGGTTTACTTCATGCAGAGTTGGAAGTATCAGCTCAGAGATCCAAGGTAGTTAGCATCCTTTGGATATTTTCTTCAGGCTATGAAGGTGTGTTAGGAAATGAATTGGCAGAGAGAATGGCTTGTTCTGCACCATTTGATGGTAAACTGGTGCATGATAAGCTAGATGTTGTATTTAGGAGCATGTGAACAGTGTGGCGGCACAATTAAAAAATGATGTTCTGAAGGGAATGATGCAATGGGGAGTGGCCAGAGGGTCTGCCTGACACTCCATACTCAAAGGAGAGACAAGCCAGACACACCACCAGACTGTTACTGCTACCATCAGAGCTGGAACTCTTTGCTGGCTGCTGAAGATGGAGACAGAGTACTTATGGGAATGTGTTTGGTGCTGTTATGTCAGTTCAACTCAAGCATTTGTTGTCAAATGCATTTAAGTTTCATTCTGTGCCTTTAGTGGTTCTCCAACTGTCACTTGCATATGTTGAAGTTGAAATAACATTTGAATTGAAAAATACAAAACTTCATTTTAAAACTATAGAGTTTAGAGAATACATAACTTCATTTTAAAACTATAGAGTTTAGAGAATACATAACTTCATTTTAAAACTATAGAGTTTGGAGAATACATAACTTCATTTTAAAACTATAGAGTTTGGAGAATACATAACTTCATTTTAAAACTATAGAGTTTAGAGAATACATAACTTCATTTTAAAACTATAGAGTTTAGAGAATACATAACTTCATTTTAAAACTATAGAGTTTGGAGAATACATAACTTCATTTTAAAACTATAGAGTTTAGAGAATACATAACTTTATTTTAAAACTATAGAGTTTAGAGAATACATAACTTCATTTTAAAACTATATAGTTTAGAGAATACATAACTTCATTTTAAAACTATAGAGTTTAGAGAATACATAACTTTATTTTAAAACTATAGAGTTTGGAGAATACATAACTTCATTTTAAAACTATAGAGTTTGGAGAATACATAACTTCATTTTAAAACTATAGAGTTTAGAGAATACATAACTTCATTTTAAAACTATAGAGTTTAGAGAATACATAACTTCATTTTAAAACTATAGAGTTTGGAGAATACATAACTTCATTTTAAAACTATAGAGTTTAGAGAATACATAACTTTATTTTAAAACTATAGAGTTTAGAGAATACATAACTTCATTTTAAAACTATATAGTTTAGAGAATACATAACTTCATTTTAAAACTATAGAGTTTAGAGAATACATAACTTTATTTTAAAACTATAGAGTTTGGAGAATACATAACTTCATTTTAAAACTATAGAGTTTAGAGAATACATAACTTCATTTTAAAACTATAGAGTTTAGAGAATACATAACTTTATGTTAAAACTATAGTTTAGAGTTCCATATTTTGTTTAATCTTTTTAAAAAGTGTTGATGCCTTGCCAGTGCTTATCATAATTTCTTTCTTTGTGTTTGCATAAATTGTTCTACTAGCTAAAAAAAATTTTCTCCAGCTTTTACATCTGTTTGATCTGTTGTTGGTGTCTTCAACATATTTGACTTTTCATAACTTATTTATAGCACAATCTTGTATACAACTTTTGCTGTCTATGCATGTTGTGGATGTTAGTACTTAGTAGACAATTAAAACCTGCAAAATCAAGATGCTCCAATTGTGTGTTCTCCACCCATTTAATGCTGGGGTTTCCAACACAATATTGCTTCCATCACCTGGTCTTTAGCAATATCAAATAACAAGAGAAGAAAAAAGAAATCACCTTTTCACTTGTTTTGACTACACACAAATCATTTGTTTACACTCTACCCTCTGAACATTCATAGATTGTTTTAAAAATGTTTGTTGTTTTTAATGGTCACCATAGCATTGCAGAATTCTCTATAGTAATGTTCTGTGTCAGCTTTGAGAAACCGTTCTCTATAGTAATGTTCTCTGTCAGCTTTGAGAAACTGTTTTCTATAGTAATGTTCTCTGTCAGCTTTGAGAAACCGTTCTCTATAGTAATGTTCTCTGTCAGCTTTGAGAAACCGTTCTCTATAGTAATGTTCTCTGTCAGCTTTAAGAAACCGTTCTGTATAGTAATGTTCTCTGTCAGCTTTAAGAAACCGTTCTCTATAGTAATGTTCTCTGTCAGCTTTGAGAAACCGTTCTCTATAGTAATGTTCTCTGTCAGCTTTGAGAAACCGTTCTCTATAGTAATGTTCTCTGTCAGCTTTGAGAAACCGTTCTCTATAGTAATTTTCTCTGTCAGCTTTGAGAAACCGTTCTCTATAGTAATGTTCTCTGTCAGCTTTGAGAAACCGTTCTCTATAGTAATGTTCTCTGTCAGCTTTGAGAAACCATTCTCTATAGTAATGTTCTCTGTCAGCTTTGAGAAACCGTTCTCTATAGTAATGTTCTCTGTCAGCTTTGAGAAACCGTTCTCTATAGTAATGTTCTCTGTCAGCTTTGAGAAACCGTTCTCTATAGTCATGTTCTCTGTCAGCTTTGAGAAACCGTTCTCTATAGTAATGTTCTCTGTCAGCTTTGAGAAACCGTTCTCTATAGTAATGTTCTCTGTCAGCTTTGAGAAACCGTTCTCTATAGTAATGTTCTCTGTCAGCTTTGAGAAACCGTTCTCTGTAGTAATGTTCTCTGTCAGCTTTGAGAAACCGTTCTCTGTAGTAATGTTCTCTGTCAGCTTTGAGAAACCGTTCTTTATAGTAATGTTCTCTGTCAACTTAGAGAAACCGTTCTCTATAGTAATGTTCTCTATCAGCTTTGAAAAACCGTTCTCTATAGTAATGTTCTCTGTCAGCTTTGAGAAACTGTTCTCTGTAGTAATGTTCTCTGTCAGCTTTGAGAAACCGTTCTTTATAGTAATGTTCTCTGTCAGCTTTGAGAAACTGTTCTCTATAGTAATGTTCTCTGTCAGCTTTGAGAAACCGTTCTCTATAGTAATGTTCTCTGTCAGCTTTGAGAAACCGTTCTCTGTAGTAATGTTCTCTGTCAGCTTTGAGAAACCGTTCTCTATAGTAATGTTCTCTGTCAGCTTTGAGAAACCGTTCTCTATAGTAATGTTCTCTGTCAGCTTTGAGAAACCGTTCTCTATAGTAATGTTCTCTGTCAGCTTTGAGAAACCGTTCTCTATAGTAATGTTCTCTGTCAGCTTTGAGAAACCGTTCTCTATAGTAATGTTCTCTGTCAGCTTTGAGAAACCGTTCTCTGTAGTAATGTTCTCTCTCAGCTTTGAGAAACCGTTCTCTATAGTAATGTTCTCTGTCAGCTTTGAGAAACTGTTCTCT